GCGGCCGCTCGCTCCGCAGCGCCGCCGGCCCCGGTTGCCGCCCCGGCGGCCGCTCCCTGCCGCGGGGGCTGTCAGATTCTCCGTCTGCGATACCGGGTGGGAGAACAGAGGGGAGACTCCGCCGGGCGGAGGGACCGACCCCTGGCCAGGGCTGCTCGGGCGTTGCTTGAGAAAAAAAGAGAGAAAAGAGCCCAGCCGAGACGCGCGTTCTCCCGGTACCGAGACCTTGCGGCAGCTGAGGCCAGGCTCAGTGCGGTGCCCGCTCTGCGAGGACAGGGGCAGGATAAGCACCTGCTTGTCTGGGTGGGGTTTAGGAAGCAGAGATGTTAAAGTGAGATAATGGTTTAATCAACACATAGTGCAAGTAAGGGATTCTGTGATTTCCCCTGGCTGGAATGGTAACGGGGGCTGTGCTTGGGTATGTGGCCCCAGCTGAGGACACGGAGGCTATGCCGAGGGAGTTTGGAATTCAGTGGGAAGTTCGGGGTCTGTGTGCCAGGGCTGTGAGAGGAGAATCACAGAATGGTTTAGGTTGGAAGCCACCCATGGAAGTCATCTCATCCACCCCCCTGTAATGAGCAGGAACATCTTTCATTAGTTGGGGTCGAAGCAGCTTTTGAGAGATTATTATGCCAGTTAAGACTGTGGCTTTTTACCCTGGCTCAGGAATTGCACCAGCTGGCATTTCTACAGTGCTGACATAATGCACAAAGCTGGTCAGATGCCTTTGTGCATCGGGCACTGAGGAACCTGCCCTGGGTTACAAAAGTTATCCTGAAAAAGAACCATCCTAATAATAGGTTGTTATTTCTGCTGATAGGACTAGCAGGAACATAAGGCATGAGGATAACGAGCAAGATGAGGCCGGTCATAAGTGACTGCTGGTTATCAAGGCATGAGTCATGTTTAAAGAGACATGCTCTGGTTTTAGTGTTCCCTTCCATTTCTGGGCAGGCAGAAAAGCTCTGAGTAATTGAGGTGCCAGGCTGTGTCATGGGATCTCTGTGAGAGACAATCTAACTGGATCTGAAGTACCTGTGCCTGAAATGCATTTGAAATTTCTTCACTCATCACAATACTCAGCTATTTGATCTCTTTCTCTTTCCAGCAAAGAATTGAAATACATAAGCTTCGTCAAGGTGACAATTTGATTTTGGGATTCAGCATTGGGGGTGGCATTGATCAGGATCCTACTCAGAATCCCTTCTCTGAAGACAAGACTGACAAGGTCAGATAGTCTTTTTCTGTAGCAACTCCCTCTCCCAAAGGCTGATACCCAAAGCATCATCTGCCCTCTGCCCTTTACCACAGCTACTCTGTTGCCCCATTATCACTTGCAGGCTGAGGTTATTCAAGTGACTTCTCCACCCTTTCCATTTTCCAAGATTGCACACGTCTCTTTTTAACTAAAATCTCATGATAACACTACAGAGTTTTTTTAGCATTGTCAGTCAAACGTCCCTTGAGTACTGAATCCTCCCATATTTAGTAGATGAACACTTATTCCTTCTTTCCAGGGTATCTATGTAACAAGGGTGACAGAGGGAGGCCCAGCAGAAGTTGCAGGACTCCAGATTGGAGATAAGATCATGCAGGTAAGCACCAAGATAAGACAGCTGCACAATGCAGAGAAGCATATGCTGGGGAAAATAATTTTCTGGGTACTTCCCAGGACAGTTTGTGGGTTTTATAAATAAACTGAGCTGTGGCATAACTGTATCTACTACATGGTTCTGATAGAACAGTTACAGGACTCCTGTGAGTCCCTGCACCTGCGTCATTTTAAGGTTTTTTTTTTTGTCCCCAGGTGAATGGCTGGGATATGACAATGGTGACCCATGACCAGGCCAGGAAGAGGCTGACCAAAAGGAATGAGGAGGTGGTACGGCTGCTGGTGACCAGGCAGTCCCTGCAGAAGGCTGTGCAACAATCCATGATGTCCTAATCCATCATCCAGCTGGGGGGGGAAGATATGTAGACTGGTATCAAAGAAAGAAGGAAATATTAGACTGGAACAGGTTTTCTGGAAGGTGTGCATGTTTCTACCTGTGGTAAACACTACTTTTTTATTTTAACTTCTTCTGGTGTAACTGGCAGTAGTAGAAAATACTCTCCTCAGCAAAGTGCTTCTCTAAAGTCTGCCCTGCAGGTACATGGCAAGACTTCTGTAGTCATGGCTTTCAGGACAGGACAGACCCAAGTTATCTGAAAGCAACTGGAAAAGCCTTAACTTGGACAGGATTCTTCTGTAGCACAAAAGCCTCCTATTTTAGGAGGAAATGTTGTTTCTGCTATGGGGTACCAGAGGGTTTGCTGTGCCTAAGCTTTTAGAAGGGAACTGTCCTGTCCCCCCTGCTACCAAATTCAAATGCCAGAGTTAAGAGTTGCACAGTGCTGTGGGGAGGAGCACTGTACTAATCCTTCACTGTGTGCAAGATAGAGTGGTTGAAGGGTTTGGGGCATTACACTTTCCTGCAAAGATTCCCTGGACAAAGCAGCCTCTTCAGGCAAGAAACAACTGAGCAACACACAAGTGTCAGATCTATGCCTGTGAAGTACACTACAACTCCATGGACACTACAGTTCAACCTCACTGCCAGGGCAAAACCTGAGTTCTCCTTGTTCCCAATTTATACCATCAGATGAATTGAGTTTTATTTAAAGGAATATCAAGCAGGAAACAAAACAGTGTTCCTGAACTTACCAGAAATCCTGCTCATAGCTGTAGTCTTCAGTTCTTCATTCCACTTCTATCAGACTTGAAATGGGAGGGATTTTGGTTTGTCTTTTAGAAGACTTTACTTAAATCAGTGATTT